AAAAAAAAAAAAAAAGAAAGAAAGAAACAGCTCAGTTGCTAAAAGAACAGAAGGTATCTGTAGCAGAAGGAATTGGGGCCAGGGGTGGGGAGGGGGGAGTCCGGGAGTGTTCCGATACCTGCTTTCCTGCTGCTGACCACTTAACCTTAGATAATTCAATGAGGCTCCCTCTGACCCCACTTTCCTCCTATGAGAGGAAAACAGAGTCCCCTGCATTGATCTCCAAGATTTCTTTCAGGATGAAGATTCTGTGATACTTAAAAAAAAAAAAGCACTGCCCAGTGATCTGCTTTTTATTAACCCACCTCCAAAACCTAGTAAAATGTAAAGGCCCAAACTTGACTCCTCTAGCTTGGAGGCCAAAGCTGAACAAACAAAGGTAAAAGTAGCAGTGTTTAACATGGGAAATTATAGATCTGTGCATTTAAGAAACCCACATCTAAAATATGCCCCTCTCAAGGGGAAGGGAAAACCTGCAACCACAAATGGGTTGAGGTGAGGCAAGACCAGGGCAAAGCAGGTACGAATTAGCTACCACAGCCCATGGCAGGAAGTCGCCCACGCCCAACTCTGGTGCACAGCGATCCTTGCAAAGTCAACCTTGAAACAGCTGAAATGGGGAGATGGAAGACAAGAAGTCTTACACTGCAGGGGGAAACGCTGTTGTCTGAGGTCAGGAAGCTGAGCGAGCAAGACTCTGGAGAGAATGTCCAGCCTTCATTCTGAAGGTCGGTGGCCGGTCACACCATCCCGCAAGCATTGTTTGCAGCTTTCCAGTTCACCATGGTGACACCCTTCCTCCTTGAATGACTTCCCTTCAGGTTCGAAATCCCGACTCAGGACCCCAAGCTTGTCCCTGTTTTAGCATCCTACCTGTTACCAACATGACTCCACTTTCCACGAGGAGTCCCAAAGAGCCATGTCTAGCAGAGAGAATCTGACTTCAAAGAAGTCAGGCCATGACACAAAGGCATCTGGGACTTCTTTACAGTGGAACATTGTCCTCATGCCCTCATTGACCTCATTGTCCTCATTGCTTGCAGTGTG